AAGATTTAGGTTACAATACCACTGTGGCTGAAAACGGCTGAAAACGGATTAGATGCATTGTTAAAAGTTGAAAAAGTCAACTATGACCTCATTTTGATGGATGTCCGCATGCCGATCATGGACGGTTATGAAGCTACCCACAAAATAGGGTTATCCGGAAATAATGTCCCAATAATAGACGTTACAGCAAATTCTATGGGTGGAGAACGGGAAAATTGTAAACAAGCCGGAATGAATGATTACATCACAAAAACTTTGGATAAAAAAGTTGTTCGAGCTACTCTACAAAAATGGATTGAGACATAGACATCAGAATTACATTCTATTTGTTCTGACAACTTCGATGATTTCATCAAATTTCATCGATATGTAATCTTGAAGTTGATAAAGTGGGACTGTTTTTGAATGAATGTTATCCAAAACAGATTGAATGACACGTTCCTTCTTTACCATTCCTGTTTGATTCTTCACTATCTCAAATAAGAGCAATCTATTGATTCTTTGCATCATTCGTTTTTCTCGTTCCGTTTGAAACAATTGATGTGGCTTTTTTCTGCTTGTTTTATGACTCTTTAAGACTCGCTTAACTCTTTCGCCGATTTGAAAATCGTCCTTATCATCGATGCTGATGTTGATGTGGGTGATGATGCCCGATTTACTTTCCCATTTGACATCCATTATGCGCAGCTCCTTAGAAGCCAACTTGTCCATCACAAAATTGGTTATCGCCTCAGACAGTCTGATCGACTTTTCATTTTCGCGGAGATACCAATCACAATAGCTCTGTATTCGCTCTTTTTTTTTGTCCACAGAAAGAGACGACCATTTGCGAAAATATCTACCAGTTTGCAGTGATAAAATTTTTTTACTTATCATCAAGGAGAGTGCATTTTGAGCTTCATGATAATCTCGGTTTCTACTGATCTCCATATTTGCTACATTGGACTTGATCGACATGAACTCGTTATACATGTCATTGAAAGTATTATCCAACACTGATGCCATAATTTCAGGAGGTTTATACCACGGTTTGTGTCCACATAATACCTCGAAATATTTGCAAACATCGATTCCTTTTGTTGCTGCAACAAAATCTAGATTATTCAGAGTCGTGCTCCATCTTTCTTTATTTTTTTTATTCTGCCTCTTGGCTTCTTTTCGTGCACGAATATTATTTAAAAGGTCAGACAACCTGCTGTTGTCCGGCAGCGATACGGTCTCAAATATATTTTCCATGTACCGCGTTAAAGAAATCGATTTGTGTTTTAATTCGTCTTCGAATGTCCGAAATGCTTCGTTTGTTGTAAAGAACTCAAGCTGATCAGAGTATAATTTCCCACCATCCGCTTGATTTTTTAACCAAGATAGTCTTTGCTTATTACATTCTTCATCATGAACATTCAAAAAAGGACATACACCATATTTCTTCACCACTGCGGGCAAAAGAAAAGCCCATCCCGGATAGTCAGGTAAATCCAAATCTCTGTATAATTTCAGATTCAAATTTTTCTTATTAAGTTCATCCTTCAAATTTAGCTTTTTGCAATCTGCATTCATTGCATTTTACATAATTTTATATAAAAATGATTTATGTAAAACTTATTTTATATTCACATCCGAATGTTTATCGATAAATCATTGCAAATTTATGTTTATGTTATTTTTTTCAAAAACATTAGCAAGAACCATCATGACAACTGCAGTGGCATCTCAATATTATGAGACCCCGACCAAGAAACATGGAGTATTTTACCACACAAACTGGTCTTGCTATGCCAGAAATTATCAAGTGAAAGACCTCCTCATATCAAACATGACTGATATTGTTTACGCATTTTTCAACATTGCTGCCGATGGCACAGTGTCTTCTGGTGACACTTGGGCAGATTTTCAAAACCCTTTCATTGGAAATGGAGTTCCTCCGCAGAATACTTGGTCAAGTCCAAGTAATGATCTCGGTCTGTTTGGTCAATTCCAAAAACTACGTAAACAAGGATCGAATTTCAATTTGGCACTCGCAATAGGTGGTTGGACATGGAGTGCAAATTTCTCAACTGCAATGTCCTCTGCGGCTAGTCGACAAAATATTGTCACTAGTTTGACAAATATTTTGAAGCCCTGGCCCGAATTGTTCAACGGAATATGCATTGATTGGGAATATCTTTCAGATGATGGTGTCAACTACGGGAATGCCGGAAATGGTGTTTCTGTTCAGGACGCAACTAATTTTATCCAGTTTTTAAAACTTATCAGAGAGGAGATGAAAGGGTTCAGAATATATCTGGCTGTTACTGCTGCTCCGGAAAATATCAAAATGCCGGTCGAAAGTATTCATCCATTGGTTGATGAATTCCATGTAATGACTTATGATTTTCATTCTTCAAGCTTTGGTGATACAATTACCGGACACCAGACAAATTTAAGACCGTCAAGTTACGGAACGTATTCAGTAGAAGAAGCTGTTTCTGTTTGGCTAGGATACGGAATCCCATCTAGTAAAATATTTATAGGGGCAGCACTTTACGGTCGCGGATTCGCCAATACAGATGGTCTCGGCAAGAGTTGTAGTGGCATCAGTCCTGATATGTCTTGGGAGCCGGGAGTTGTCGATTACAAGTCTTTACCTTTGCCGGGAGCAGTTGAATTGTGGGACCCCGTAGCTCGGGCTGGTTATTCTTTTGACTCTGTAAAACGAGTCGTCAATTCTTACGACACTGTTGAATCAGTTAAAGAAAAATGTCAGTTCGTTTTCGACAACGATTTAGGGGGCATAATTTGCTGGGAAACTTCTGCAGATTTTCCTTATGAAAACCCAAAGAGCTTGATTAAAACAATTCACGATAACCTGACAAATGGTTCTTCAGAACTTTCAAGCGATAAAGTCTTGGTTAAACCAACAGCACCAGGCAAAGTTTTCTCGCCGTAACTAAAATATTTACTTTTTTTATAATTTATACCAAATTCAATTCAATGTTTCACTACTGCGCTAAAAGTCTGCTGGGCTAACTATTATGCTCTCTTCCAAACCAGGCATCGCCTTTCCCAAGTACAAAATGCCACCGACCAGAACGCCAACGAAAACACTATTTTTCAACATAAAACCCCCAGTAAAAACATCTTTTCTTCCGAATGCAGAAGTTCGCATTTTCTGCCAGTAAAACCAAATATATGTGATAACCATGGATATAGTAACAGAGTACATTATGTTACTGAAAATGCCATGGATTTTGTCATACATTATGAATATTTTTTGGTTTAACAATCACCAAGAAAATCGGTACTTCTAAGATATGCGTCTGATTCTTCAATTCACACATGTGTTATACCAACATTGAGAAATTTTTAAAGCAACATTCAGAAAACTCTGCCGTATTAATCAATGTCGGAAAAAAAGTTTGCTGTATCTAGTCCATCTAAGGACGGCACCTTATGTTTTGCCAATCGCGAATCGTCAGTGTTGTCAAACCTTGACGGTCCGATTGGCAGTTCTTCGTTTGTAGAGTAAACATCCAAGTCAATCTTTTCTGGAGCCTCTTTTTGCTTGACCGAAGGGATATCTTCGCATACATTATTTACAAATTCCTCTCCACCAATATTGTACTTGACGCGAACATTGTCTTCGCTGTTTTCTGAATCTACATCTCTGTTTTCGTTATTGTAATTGTCAAATTTGTCATTTTTCCTAGAAGTGTCTTGAAGAGTTTTGCTTAACGGAATAAGCTTTACGTTTTCTTCAGCAGGACTTTCGAATAATGATTCCGGATCAAATGTGTCAAAAAATTTCTTCTTGTTGGCAAGTCCCTTGTCGAATGTGGTATCAGTGCTTTGGCTATCTGTTGCAAATCTAGAAGAAGTTTGTTTTTCCGTGGTTTGTTTTTCGTCAAACGCTGGTTCCGCAGCTCGGAATGAAAGTTCAGACTTCTTTTCATAACCATTTACACAACTTTGATGAATATCTCTTTTACCTACATCGCTCTTTAGGTCATCCTTCCCGTTGGAATATCTCTCGTCATAAATTTCATGTGTGCTTTTTCTTTCATCATCTAGATCGCTATTTTTGTCATCATCAGAAGGCGGATTCGAAAGACTGTGTAGAGGTCTTTTTGAAATGAGAGGTGGGTCTTCCGTGCTATGTGAGATTTTCATCACATCTTGACCGCCTCCTGTTGTCTGAGATTGAGAATGACGCCTTTTGGACTGATTAAATGATTGGGTGAAAGAAGAAATGTTTTCAAATAATGTTTGTGGTGGTGTTGCGTCTTCGCCTTCGCTGTCGCATTCCATATTTTCTTTCAAAAGACTTTCAATTGGGAGTAAATCTCTAATCGTGTTTTCTATGCATGTCATAATCAATTTGTAAGCTTTTTGAAGATTTTTTGATTGTTCCACTCGACTTATCGAGTTCGGTCGGTCTTCCATAAGCAAAGCATTTTCATAAAATGCTCTGGCACATTCTTTGTAACAACAATGAATAAATTTTTCTCCTTGTGGAACTTTTACTTTCATCTTTTGTTGATTGTCTATTTGATGCATGTTGACAGCTGCAAGAATCTGTGTGTTAATTACGAATACGCGTTTGATGAGATCATCAAGAAATTCGCATTCGGTTTTATCTATGATCCGTTTATATTCTTTTTCTATAATTTCTTGATTCCATTTGCGCACTCTGGACAAACGAGTTTGGAATTCCAAAAAAACTTCTCCCGGTTTTGCAACACGTTTGCAATCTTCCCAAATTGCTTTAATACCCTGATAAATTGCAGGATACAAGCGATGCAACAATGCTTTGGTATATTCGCTCCTGGCAATAATCACGCAATTCTTAGATTTATCCATCAGACTGTCTTTATGACTTGAATGGAAAAAATCATTGCAAAATTAACGCAAACATAGTTTGTACCCAATGGCAAAATTCGACAAAAGCGGATTTCATAATATTTCTAGCTTCAAATAACAGCGTATTTGAGTCCATAAAATGGACTTTTGTTGTAAAATTATATTCTCCAATAGTTCAGTGGTCAGAACGTCGTACTTATACAGGAGTCCCCCGTATGCAATGCGAATGTCCCGGGTTCAAACCCCGGTTGGAGAAAAATTTACCCCAATTTGACGATATATTCATCCAGATACATTGGTAAATTTTCAAATTCAATACTTAAGAAAAAGCACTTATTATTTCTCATACATTGCAAATGTCTGACCAACAAGTCAACGTCAGTATGACGGCAGACGAAGCCATAATCAAGGCGACTGCATTGCTTAACACGAAGATGGCTAATTTCGACGAACAGAGGGAGAGACTGAAAACGTGCGGCATTCGGGTATTTTACATACTGGAAAACTATCGAGATTGTCCAATAAATGGGAACTCAGGTGCTGTTAACTTAATATCGGGGGCACTGGAAAATTTAATTTTACAACATGGCATTTCCGTCATACCAACCTTTTCCGTCGCTCACACTGCAAATGTTTTAGTAAATATCCAAAAGAAGCTTGAAAATGGAGACATTTGTCTGAATGAAGATAAACAGTTAGTCAGTCCTCAGGTACCTTCAATTGTTCAAAGAAAAGAAAAGATTATTGAAAATATTTTTCACCATCAATTGGAGATTGTTCCTGGCGTTTCCTCACACATAGCTCAAATAATTACAAATTTATATCCTACCATCAAGTCGCTCGTAAAAGCATACGACAGATTGGCTGAAGACGGAGAAAAATGGAATATGCTTGCTGATATTTCTTTTGGTAAAAGAAAACTGGGTAAAGTACTATCTCGTCGACTTCACGACGTTTTTAATATGCAATAAATTGTTTCCAGAAAAACCCTTATCGACAAAGAACATAAATGCTGTGAAGAAGTGGATAGGTGAATTAGTTGTACCCTGTAACAGTTTATGGTCGGAGAGTGTTTGACAGATTACCCATCGTTTCATTACAAGTTGAGTTGAGAAACTATTTCTGCACCGTCAAAGTTTTTCCTTCACAGGCCTGGCCATTATTTGAAGCACTGCAGGCAGCTTCCACCTCTCCCAAATCACTTTCGGCCGATTTCACAGATTGGTCTTCGAAGCGGCTGCACAAGTCACGACGGACATTCTCGGACTCTTCTAACTCTATACCATGTTTCGAAATAAACTGTTAAGACCGGCACCCACTCCCCTCTTAACCATCAGTCATCTGTCATTCATTGTATTTACGGAAATCTTTCTAATTTTAGTTTGATCGAACTATTTATCGATAAAACTCTTTTTCACTTGCATTGTAAATATCTCGTGTTTTTTACAGCAACTTTCCCATTTCCTATTTCAGTTTGCAAATAATTGACACCGTTAGAAGGTTGCAAGGACAAAGGATTATTCTTAAAATTTCGAAATATTCAGAATACGGTCTAAATAAAAATTCCCTAAATTCATTCATTTCAGAGTCTTTAATTCTTTTTGTCATGATGTTCATGTCATAAAATTTATCCCCTTGTAATCTTTTCAAAATGTAAAAAAGAGAATAAACACCACATTCGTTGTTTCCTTTCTGATGTCTAAACTTGTTTTCAGAATATAGAGCATCGCCAAAATATGGATTATCTAAAAATTCATCAATATTTTTTGTCGGTGAATCTCCGGTCGGATCGAAATATTCGACAGAGAGGACAAAGTCTTCAGTGTTATTCACGATTTCATTTTCAAAATACATAGCGACCCAATGGCTACCACTTTGATGCGATTCGTCCAAATTGAAAACAATTGCAGCTTGTTGATAAGAGTCCAGAATATTTTTGGGAAATCTTTTTGGGTGCAACTTGTAGTAATCAGAAGGAAAGCAGCCAATATACTTGAAATGAGGAAAAATCTTTTCATACTGCCACATTACGTTATTGATTTCGGTAGTCGATAACCAGTCACGTTTACCACGTAATCCTTTCGGTTTGAAAGTAAATTGAGTGATAATTTCGTTCATTTCGGAAGAAAGTGTTTTCATAGAGTTCGTAAGCTGATCGTTGTCAAGCCAGCATGATTCATCACTATTGCAATGAATTGAAATTGTTCTTGAAGTTGTTTCCATATTTCATTTTTGGCCGAATCTCTTGTTGTAATGTATTCGGGAATATTTATCTTATCACCAACATCACTGTTATTCCACGCGTCAGCCAAAAAAATCAAATCTTCCAAAGAAAAACAAGTCCACGGTTTTTTGTTGCCATCTTTTCTGGAAGACGGAGCACAGTTTGACATTTCTTTTCGCGGGTTAATAACTATGACCTTTTTTTTTCTGTGTTTATGATTAGAACAGTTTTCCAAACACAATGGAGCAGACATTGGCGAATTTTAACACAGCTTTGAACAATTGGATGACCCCTTTGGATAATACTACCATTAAAGGAGTTTTGATGGTGTTTTTGATTCTTTACGGTACACTACTGGCTCCAGCATTGCCCAAAGCTTTCCTCTCCCTATTTGACAACTTTTTTGTCAAAGCCGTTGCAATCTTCCTCATAATTTGGACGTCAAATCACGATCCAGCAATTGCAATTGCTTTGGCAGTTGTATTCATGGTTCTGGTGAACTTGACCGTCTCAAAACCAACCACTGAATCGTTTGAAGGACCTCGAAACGCAATCTATCCTGGATGCAGGAATCTTACGGTATATGATCTGTTAGATTCCTTCAAAAATGATGTGCATGCATTGACAAGAGCCGTGCGGGACTCACGAGTCCCGGAGGACATAGCGGTGACAGATTATTATGCACCTCTAATTGGTACTTACCTGCTTAACTACGGACATGTTCTCAAAGCGCCCTGTACTGCCCCCACCGGTAATCCGGTAACAACATGGGTATAGTGCCGACTTCACTCGCTTATCAAAACTGCTTCGACCGCAAAACAAAGTTCGCAATCTATGAAATACGCGGTTAGTAAAATCTCAAAGTCACTGGAAGTTCGGTCATTGCAAACTCTATCGATCAAACTACCCAGGTATGCCCAATTACCCCAAAATCTTATTTTTGATTTGTAGTGTGCATATCGCAAACGACATTGCAAAATATGCTGTTTGATAACTAGTGGTTCAACAACATTAAATTCCTTTATTAGCAATCGTGTTTTTTTGAATTCTGTCTTTAAATTTTCCTGATTTTCCTCGGGACATTCAAGTGTGGTATTCAAAAAACGAGTCAGTAAATCATCCATTTCATTTATTACCATATTTACATTTTCTGAACCGTCGTTCATATCTATATCACAGTTCTCTGGTTCACTTACTGAAATATTTGACTTTGGATTGATATTTGATGTCATCATGCCATACATCTTTGTTTGTCATGCTTCCTGAAATATGTTTAAATTGTTTTTACGCGTAAAAGAATCTAATTCTCAAATTGTGTTGTTCTTGATTTCATTTATCGATAAAACTTTTTTTACCTTTCGACCATAATTTTCAATTTCTCAATATTCAGGAGCATATCAATATACTGATCGATAAACTTTCGCTATTTCAATTTTTGCACCATTTTTTGCATTCTATCCGCCAAAAACGTTCAAGTAGATTTCATTAGAACAACCCCCATCTTGGAACGTGCAAAAATCCAAAGCTAACTGTACAATTCTTTATCGATAAGTTTATTTGACTTTGATGTCTTGCACTCAAAACATATAAAAGCCTATAATTCGAAATTAATTATATTTTGCAAACTTACGGATGAACATTTGAACTGAAATTATCGACTTTTTAACGGTTATTATCTTGGAATTTCCTAATAATAACATACTTTTTCGTACGAGCTACTGCACCAGAGACCCTACTCATGTTTGCCTGTTGGAAAAGATTTTCAGTAGTCTGCAAATATTTCAGAGTTACATCATAAAAAATGAAAGCGTCAGTATGCAATTCAATGACTTGAACTTTGAATTTATTCCTAGAACCGAATGGACAGTGGGTCATTATATCGCAGAATTCCGATGTAATAACTCAATTTTATGTATAAAACTAATGAATAACGATAATATCATATCAAGTTTTGCAGAACTTGAAACATGTCTTCATAACATACTATCCAGGTTCAATATTTGAAATGTCATTAGATCCTTTGGAATACCATGAACGTGAAATATCATTCTTGATCGAATCCCATTTGGAAGACAATCTAACTGCAGAAATCATACCAAATATTGGAGTTATCAAAAAAGCAATGAATTTAAGGGTTTCATCGTCAATTTTGTAAACAGGAGACACTAAACTATGCATGAATGTGCTTTTACTTTCAATACCTCGTAATGAACATTCTAATAGTGTTAATACACAAACGTCTTGATTTACTGTCCAATGTACCATCAAAGAAATGACGAGCGTGAAATGCAAAAGAAGCAAAGACCACGAGACGTTCTTCCAAAATGGCACAAGAATGACAAATAAAACCAGAAAAAGATGCAGAATCCTTACAACATTTGCGGCCAATATGTTTATTTTAAAATACACTATAAAATATTAACTATGTTCCTTTAATGAGTATTCAAATATTCCTTCATCCTTTTATTCTAGACATCTGCAAGAACCCTATCAGGCGAATATGCACCAGGAATTTGATTATGTGATTCAACCATCGTATCTGAATCAGACGATCCTACAGGAAGCGGCATTTTTGACATTGGTGGCAAAGGTGAAGTTGTAAGATTTTCAAAATATGGTGATGCCGTCGGTCGCAAAACTGGCATCAATATTTCGGGAGAATGTGCGGCATTAACAGATGCTTGCATCATGATTGCTTCAGCATGCTTAACAGTGCTTCTTTTGATACCTGGTCCGCTTCCTCCTGATATAGTGGTTGCTATCTCAGGCGTGACTATCCTCGTTTGTGAAATCTCTGTCAAACTGTTTTTCAAAATGTAATTTATCGATAAAAAGTACGAAACCGCAATCAAGATGGCCAAGGCCGGATCGTGATTGTAAACCCAAATTATCATAGCCATTACCCCGATTCGGAAAAAGCTGTTGGAAAACAGTGGTCCGAATTTCGGTGACAGTCGAGGAGCTGCAAGTAGTCCATATACTGCCAAAAATACTTTTAATGCAGCAGCAAAATACACGTTGGCAGTAAACGG